ATCATATTTCTTAAAACCTGATTGTGTTAATGATATGGATAAACGTGTTTTTATCTTAATTAATAATTACATCAAAATAAATATTGAATTCATTTTTAACTTTTCAGATATTTAGAATTTCTTTCCTTTTACGGGGAAAAAAAAAGAAAAAGGAATAAAAGAAACAAAGAAAAAAAAAAACTATTGTGAAATTTAAAATACTGAACTTAATTATGTTTCTTGGTTAATTGATTAACTGTGTACTTAAATAATAAATAAAATTCAATGAAAAAATATCTGCCACTCTATAAATTTTATTCAACTAACAAAGTTGACATCAGCCAACTCATAGAATGGCCATAAAATTAAACTTTTTCAGCCAAATATAAGTGCACTGTGTAATCTATGTAGAAAAAATCAATCAATTTAATATTCATATTTTTAATAAAAGCTATTGATCCAAAATCCCTACAGGTTGTTTATCTTTTCAGTAGGGAAGTTGAATCAATATCTATATTTTATCCAAATTGTTTTAGATGGTGTCAGTTTAATAAAATCTACTCACTTAGTATTTTAATGCAATTTGATCATGATATATTGCAATAAAATCATTCCAAGTCTTTATTGAGAACATAATCTTCTACACACTATCTTCAAGTAATCTTGTGGCATTAGAAGATTAGATCCTTGTACGTAATTTATTAGCAGTTTATAAACTCGGAATTTCAAATAAACATTTATTTTATGCATATTCTTGCAAATTTATATTTTACTAAGCCTAAACACTTCCTATACTTCTATTCGTGGTTATTCTACTAACTGTAACAAATATTTGTATCATAGTAAAAAAAAAGATTATGATAAACTTTCAAAAAGATTATTGCTACAAAGCAGACCAGTTTTTTACTCAAAAATATTTTAATACAGTTTAATTTATTGTACTTAGTTCAAGTAGGTTTTATTCATATCAAGTAGGATTTATTCATATTAAGTAAACAACAGTTTTATTTTTATTTGAAATTTATTTCTTGTTATAATTGACAACATTTTCACTTCATGCTACCAATATAGTATATAGAATAGTTTGTTTATGTTTAAAAAAAAGAATTCAATTTTTAAAAATACAACACTTATTAGAACTAATTTTATTCATTAATTATAAAACTTGTGTTGAATTAATTGTTATAAAAGATAACATATTATGTTTGATAGAGAAATTTTTATCAACAAACTAAATATATTTACAAATCTAGAACATATATATATATATATATATATATATATATTCATTATACATAATTATATATAATTAAGCTTTATTAGTATATATATTTATTATATATAAAAAGTATAGATTTATTTATTTAATTTTACATGCATAGAAATATATTTTATTTTTAGATTTGTAAATTTATTTATTTATTCTAAAACATATTTATATATATATATATATATATATATAACTTAATTCTTTCTTTTCTTTTCTTTTCTTTTCTTTTTTATCTTGTTTTGTTTGTTTTTAACTTTTTTTTCTTTTTTGTAAAGGCTTGATTTGGTTAAATAAACATTTTTTTTCAATTTATTTTAAGCTGATCAATTTTAACAATATCTAAATGTTACAAAAAAAATAGTTTAGTTATCTTAAAATTTTAATAATAATTTATTATATGTAACAATATATGAATATAAGAAAAAAAAAATAAACCATAATTATGGGTTTTTATAAGTATTTATTGATTGTTTGGAAGAAAAGTTTGCCACATCAACACCTCAAATTTTCATTATTTACTGTCCAAAGAGTGAAAATAAAAAATTTATTTATTGTTAGTAGATAAATCAAAAGTACGATTTAATAATATAGAAACTTATACACAAGCATTTATTGCAGTGTTGACTTTCTTTCTCCAAAGATATTCCAATAAAAATAATAGATTATAATAGAACCATTCAAGTAAATTAGAATAAATTACAATTAAATCATGAATTACACTTTAAAAATGCAACATCAATGTAAAAATTCCAATATATATATATATATATATATATATATTTCAAGCAATTGCAATCGTATTTTTATCAAATTGATATTATTTATATTCATCAATCTTTCAAAATTTAGTAAAAATATATTGATAAATGTTACGATCACAACTACAAATATTAAGGGTTTCCCAATAGTGATAGAATTTAAAAGTGTATAGCAACGTTTTTTGTTAGTACTATACCAAAATATAGAAACTTTGAAACTTCTATAGAAAAACCCATAATTAATTTTATTGATTTTATTTTTTTGTCAACATTAAATAAAAAAATTTAGATGAATTTTATAACATTGTAATAATTTGAGTTAGAACTTTTTTGTTGCTTCATTTTCATGAAACTAAGTCATAAAGTATGTTGTAAGTTTACCAATGATGGTTGTGTTGATTTAATAAATATATGGATCAATTTAACAATTTCCTATATATATATATATATATGCTATCACAAAATTAACTTTCAAACTATGTTGTGATTTTTTTGTAATGAAATAATCTAAGTCTTTTTTTACTAACTATTATTTTAAATAGTCTTATTTAGGATTTTGATTTTTATAGCAATTGTTTTGTTTTTTTTTTTGTTTTTTGTTTTTCTTTTCTTGAGTACATTGTAATATTCAACAATTTATTTAGTAATGAAACTTTTTTTAATAAAGAAACCATTTGTATTATTTACAGATTTTATTATTCATAATAAATTCATTGTTGATACTATATACCATTAAAAATAAGTTATTAGTTGTTAAGTTTTTTTGTAATTCGTATTCATTATAGATTTTGAACAAATGAATAAAATTAAGTTGTTTTCAAAGTTTCTTTTTTCCATCATGTATTATAATATATTTCTTTTTTCTATTAGTTATTCCTCCTTCAATTTAATAAACATAAGTTAATACTATATTAATATGGTTTTCTTGTTTTGATAAAGAAATATGTACAATTGCTAATTTTAATGTAGTAGCTTCATGTTATCTAACTAAATCAAGAATGGGATGCAAAGTGGTCACTATATTCTCAAACAAAAATTGAAGTTATTGCCACAGCATACAGTTATTTTAAATAACATAAGCACTAGCCATTAAAAATTCATAACATTTTATGCAAAGCATTATATATATATATATATATATATATATATATGTTGTCGGCATATACGTGGCCATATTTGATTGGCGCTGTCCATGTGGTTACGCGCAAAAGCTCGTCCTTTTTCATGGTTTGAAAAGTCGCCTACTCCATGGCCTGTCAAGAGGCCCGCCTCCAGAATCCCAGGCCTTGGTCTGCAAGTGTGAAACGGTCTCTGATCCTCCACGTCATTGTGCAAGATCATGGCTGAGTTGGCACCATCCAGGGGGTGAGTGCAATGCTGAGTTGGATTTACACAAGATCCTCGTGTACAGCTGGCAGTAAGGGCCCCATTCCCACTGTCGTCGCTGGGCGGGCCTTGGGAGGCTTCAAATCTCAATAAGGATCCCTTAAAGAGGGAAAGTCAGTGTCCCTCTATAGTTTACCATGTATTTCGTCATGGCTTTATTTTGGTGATTAGAATTAGTATAATTTGTGTAATTTGTACAATTTTTTTCCATAATGTATCATGGTCTATGTAGAAAATGATCGGTTACATCATGTATATATATATATATACATGCACATGTACAACATAGTTTTTGAAATATGCTCGTAAGCATGTTACTTTCAATAGTTTTTATTTGGATTTAAACACTTATACTGATTTTTATTAAGATTCTCAGAAAACCTAATATTATATTTCAAGACATCTTATAGGGGTTTGATATTTTAAAGTGTGTACCATCGATGAAAAAAAACAGAACTTAACGCATTCAGTTAATTTTTTAAATTATAAAATTTGTACACACAGATTTTAAGATATATGAATAATAATCAAGAAAAACATTCAGTATCTAAATCACTATCAAATTATATTACACTTGTTTTCAGAATACATAAAATAATTAATGAGGTTATATTAACGTTATTTCTTAAATATATATATTTTTTTTTCAAACACTCTTTTTATTTCTTTATGGTTCTCTTGATTTCATACCAGAAAACAATGATAATATTTGAACGAAATGCAGACATATGAAGTTTTTTTTACAAATGTACAAAATTTATACAAAATAATATAAAAATAATAATTTTTAGCACTTATTAACTAGTTGTTTTAACTTTACATTTTTATTTTGAATTCTTCTTTGAATGTTTTAGGTAATGATTATGATAAAAGAAGATCACAATTGTTGTTATATAAAGTTTTAAAGTTAGTTGCAGCTGATACATTGTTATAACACCCAAATTTCGTTAAGTTTGTGTTTGGCTCATGATATCTTTGGTTGTTCTCGCATGATCCTAGTGCAATGTAATTGACGAGTGGTTGTTACCAATCCACTACAAACAAAAATCAACATGTTGATAGTGAAAAGAAGAAACGTTACCAATTTCAGTTCACCGAATTATTTTAATCGACCAAGCATTGATATTTAATATTAATTTTTTGAAGAGGAGAAAATAAAATTAAGAATATGAAAAAGCTACCAGCATACTTTCAATGGTTTCCGTGATATTTATCCCCTTCTACATTTGATATTCCCAAATTGCAAATATTTCTCTAAACTGATTCCACAAATGAAAAAAAGGGGAACGAAGTTTCCTAGAAGCTTCTTCCTCATGTTGGGAGTCTATTCGTATGGAATGAAGATCGTGGGGATAATAAAAGCAGAAATGATGCCAAATAAGCGACCCAAAATGAAGCAGAAACAAAGGAAGAGAGAGAGAGAGAGACGCATATTCCGAGCGAGGGAGACCCACGTTCCAAGCGAGAATCCTACTGGAAGGTTGCATTCCACATGGAATCTCTTCCCACACAGCTGGCAGGGAATTTTGGACGGGTGCTCACTGCCCCTGAGGGGGGGGGGGGCACAAGGCGGCAAACATTTCACTATCAGGTTCCTTTCTTACGTTTGAATTTATCGCGTGGTTTTTCCCTCCCCCGCCAGTTGCAGCTTCTCGATTACTCTAAAAGAAGAAAGAAATTAGTGATAAACAAAGATTCAATTTAGTCATGTATTTAATATTTGTTGCGGACGGAGCGTTGTCAACATCCCTCGCGGTTTTTCGGCCCCCTGAGTCTGGGGTGTTGTTGTTATTAGAGTTTCAAGGAGGTTGACGAGACGAGAGCTGCGTTCGTACCTGCTACGGAGTACGAAGAATCCGAGAGTCGGTTGCCGTGGTACGCCATCCATCAGTGTCGTTTCTTTTGATTCTTGTATGGAGAGGCTATGTGAAACATGACCATGTCGTATTTAAGTTAGGGAGGAAAGAGGGGAGTCGGTAGCCGTGCAGGATCTTGGTCTTTCGATCGCTGACCTTGTGTCGGACGAGTTGGCTTCCATTATGATACCCTTGCTCCAAAGGCACGGTGGATCTTTTTCGATTTCTGCTTATCTTTTTGAGAATCGAGAAGATCGTTTGACCATTTAGTTGCGGGTGAGGAAAGGAGAGAGTAGCGTAGCTTAACCAAGGCTAAGTTCTTTTATCGCTTTTGCCCGAATGCGTGGATAGTATTCTGGTATTCGTGATGGAAGCGCCCATCGTTTGGTTTGTGGGATTTTTTTTTGTCGGCAAGGAATTCTGCTCTTTCCTACAGACACGACGTGTACAACACCACAGCGAACCTCCAGGTACATGACGTCTTGTTGAAGTCGCAGTGGTTCTTGAAAGAAGAGCGGTTTGACAGAGAATTTCCAGTGTCTGTTCTTTGACCGTGAGGTCATTGGTTGTGAACTCCATGTCAGTAGGTTCCTCACCAGAGGCTTGGTCTTGGCATATTACGCCGCGGAGACGATGAGAGCTAGCACAGTAGCTTGCTAGTGCCGTAGTGGGAAGCTCACTATTCTCTTGATTCCAGGTTGTGAATGGTCACCGCTGGGCTGTCGTGGTCCGTGTGCACCAAGTACATGCTCGTCGTCTCTCTAACGAGCGTCTCCCGACAGTGAACTTGGACGCCCTAGTATCTGGAAAATACCCAAATCTAGTTCTCTTTCTCTCACCTGCCACACCATCCTAAAATTAATGCTCAGCACTGACGCACTCAATCCCTCTCTTCTCTCGCATTCTCGTTGCCTTAACTGCCTTATCCTTTGTCACTCTCATCATGAGCCCTCATTTGGTCAAAAGCACAACCAAGCTTGTAGGATTCTGTTGCATTGGTGGCTTAAGTTGACGCTTGATGTACCTCCGCGATGTGTACCAAGTGTTGAATAGTGAAAGGCAACAAGCAAAAACGCCTACAAAGTAGATTTTCTCACTTAAATTCATGAAATTCAGGGCTTACGGTTTGCACTGAAGTTGCCTTATTGTGACAACGCTCATTGCTAATATACCAGGCATTCATCACAAACTTTCACACAGAATAAGTGGGAGGCAAATGTGGACTGTTCGCTGTGATTTAAACTCAACTGCTAAAGCAGTCGGCTGTAAACAATCACGTAATTGCAAAGTGATGTGGAATATTACTGGTGAAGGTGCAGCTACAGATGGGAAAATGCACCATTCTTCTCCCTCATCCTCCACCCTGAACCAATGAAATAGTGTTTCGCGCATCTGCATATGCCATTAATGCTCTAGCTATGTCCACGATGCACACATCAATCATCTCTTGAACAGAAACGAGAGCATGTGTTTGATTGGGACATGATTGGATTCACCATCATAACCTCCTGATTTCGCTAACCATCAAGATGAATTTTCAGGCCACAGCTTGAAACACGTTTCAGGTTTCTAAAACGCGTCCCACTGACATGACGGTGCAAAAATCAATACATTTTGCCCCTCAGAATGGGGCCTGTGCACATGCTACCATCCGCAAACACTTCTTTAACCAGTGATTCGTCCTGGTGCCCCATTTCGCATGCCTTGTTTTGTTTTGTTTTTTTTTTCGTTTATTCTTTCCTATCAATCGTCTGATCATCCTCCAAAGCTCCTCATCTGCTCATGACCCCACCATAATCGCACCCAATGCTTCTACTCTAACAGCCAATTCAGCTCAAGACAGAACGGGAATATCGTATCCGCGACAAGATAAACATGGAGCTCGTGACCATGCCCACGAAGGGCAACAACTCAAGGAAAGATGATAACGCTAGTTCTTCTCCATTGATGCGCAATTTCTTCAATTTCTGTTCGTCTAGGGCTCAGATGCCGGTGGAGGAGGGTGGAACAGAGGCGGCAGCGCGTTGAAGATGGCCTTGGCGTCCACTCCCGTATTCGTTGCCGTCGAGAGTGAAGCCAAAGCTCCCACGAGTGCGGCATTGGCAGCTAACGTCGGCTCTGATTCTTGGTAGTTCGTGCGTCGGTCATGGTACTTGTCGAACTTGTTCGGTCCACCAACCATAGCCCCTTCGAGAATGTGGGGATTCGGGGATTTCGCGTCCCGGTACTTGTGACCTTGAGTACAACCAACTCTTCCTGCAGATTTCGGGATGGATGCTGCTCTGTGGTGGACTTGCTGCGGGTATCTCTCGCCATAGCCAACAACGTAGCTCATGTTCATAGGGTTGTGCCCAAGTACGTAATCTATCTGCACAATTTTCACATGATAATCGGGTCGTTAATTGCAACTATAGTAAATATGAGGAAATTGGGAAGGACAAACATGAACTTTGCTGGCAAGAAACACTGCGTCACGAGTCTCACCTGCGATCTTGCCCAGTCATTCAAGGTTTCAGCGGGGTAGAAGGTGCCATGGCAATACCATCCAGGAACATCGGTGGCCTTCATGTACTCAGCATACAACGAAGCTAGCATGGAATTAGCGACTGCATACTGCAGTTGCTGCCCCTGGCCGTATAGGAACATCGTCAACCCTCCTGTACACATCCTCCAGAGTATCGTCAACACTTCGAGGTTTTGAGGCAACCAATTTTTGACGTTCAATCTCGTGTACAAGTCAATCTATCGAAGATCGTCAAACATACAAACTACTTTTTTCCAATGCTATGTAGCATCCAGAGAATCGGCCAAGTTGAGGCAACAAACCTTTCGTGGTATTGAATTTCCCGTGTTGGGGGAGGTAGTTACACATAACAGTCTGGGTCTGATTGTGGTACTCTCGGAGCAGCTGCTCATAAGGATACCCAGGACTTTTCATAATCAGAAGCCTCGACAAAAGCACCTGACCCCGAGCAAAAAATCTCCCTTTAATCGAGGAAAGGGCAGTGAGAGCAAATCAACAACTGCGTTATCTCAACGTAACATACTGCTTCAGATGCTCTTGACAGGAATGAATCACAAAGACTATGCGGTGTAAGTACGCTGAACGATCAATTCGTCCAGTAACGACAAACCTGGGCACCAGCTAGCTTGTTGTCCCAGTTGAAAGTGCCGTAGAAGGGACCCCCACCGTCTGCATTGGCATGCTTAGCAAGATCTGGGTGCGTAACTAACTGAAGATATGAGGTGTTTCCCGTGGCGTAATACATCCAAGCTCCACCCCATATGTACTCATCCCAGTAGCTGGTGGAGTTGTAGAAACCAGCCTCTCCTTCGGGAAGGCCAGTGACGAAACGCTCCCTTTTACCCTGGTCTCTTGCGAACTTCCAGATGTTGGCTGCCCCGGTTGACAGCTTGTTAGAGTATGCTGGAGAGTCCTTGAATACAATGGAGGCTGCTGCGAGGGCAGCTGCAATTTCTCCACCCAGGTCTGGAGCGGAGCTAACTGCGTATGCTGGACGGGCGTAGTCCATATCCTCTGGCCTTTCCCAGCATGTGTGGTCATTTGGGTCGGAGGTGTTTGCATCGCCCACCTAGCAAGGAATAAATCAGAATTGCTTCAGACAAGACTACAACAACGTCGTTAACCCCACCAATTAACGACGTGGTTTTCCAGCCACCAGCAGCTAATCCTTAATTTCCCAGCTGTTGAGTGGTGAGCAACAACCTCGGCATCAACATTCTGAGCTTAAATCTAGCAGAGGGGTAATACCTGAGCAAATACATAGTCCACATTTGGTGAGGTATAGTTGAAGGTCTTCAACATGTAATCAGTGCCCCACTTGATGATTTCCTTGATGTGTGAAAGCTCCACAGCAGCTTCGTATTTGGCTTTGTACTCTATCACGCTCCAGCTCAAGAGAGTCATTGCAAAGGCCCCTGGAAACCCGAACTTGATATTATCCCCCGCGTCATAGTAACCGCCACTGAGATCAGTAGGGTTTCCGTTGATTGCAACTTGTCCATCCAGGAGCGCTGAAGATTCTCTCCAGGAAATGTTGTTCGATTTTGGCAAACGTCCAGCTACAATTGATTTCAAAGCATGTAAGTTTCCGTCAGAACATGAGCTTGCCTGAACTACTTTAACAGATCTACCGAGTTGATCTCAATCCTTTAGCAAACATGAAACAAATTTTTTAGATGTTTCTTAATGGCCGAGATAGCATTCATCAAATTGCGTAATACTCATGTCGCAGCTGAAGGAATTACTTGATTCTTGAAAAGATACTGATGAAACATGGGAGTGAAATCTTAGCCTGTGCATGACGATTATCGAAGCATAGATTTCTCAAGTCAAGCACCCGCGGATTGTGGGAACGCAACACCCTTTACAAGGATCCCCACTCGATCTCCTTTCTCTCGCATTTCCTTTACAAAAATTGACTAACTCCAAAGTATGTGATAGGTTCATTAACCGAGAGATAGAGAATTTCACTAGAGGGGATGGAACGGAGGTTCGGAAGTTAAAAAAAAATCATCTCAAAAATGAAAGCACTCGGGGTGATGCACCGAAGTCCAAAAAACAAGCAAGGCCATCGATCGTGAGAAGAGTATTTTTGCGGAGTTGAGGATTTGCGTAAGTGGGAATTTCTATACTCAAGAAGGACTGGCTGTAGAAACCCAGGTGATGGGCTGCGATTGCCGTGGCATCGAGCAGAGAAAGAGATCCATGAGGGTGGTTAGCATCTTGCCAAAGGGGGAAAGGTGGTGAGTGCAGGAGCGTGCAAGAGCCGCCTTACATTTCTGGGCGTCGAAGAATTTTAGAGCCATCTTCAAGGCAATCGTGTAGTTGTCGAGGGGTGGAGGGTGATGGTGCTTGCGGGGCGTCATTTTCCAAAACAGAACTGACAAGCCCACAATGCTGCTGGCGGCGATTGTGGTCACAAACAGGATAAGGAACAGCTTCCGGCTGCAGACCATACACCCCAAGTCGATCTCCTTTTTCTTCTTCTCGGCTTTTGGCTCAAGCAACCAGCTCTGGTGCGTCTCCTCCAAGCTCTTCACCGAAGCTCGGTCCACGTCGGGGTTCTTGCTGTGAGTGTCATCCTCTGCCCCTGAGCCTGTGGCCATATCCACGGACCCTCCCCAACTGTTGAACATGGCTGCAGATTTCGCCCACCCACCTCCTTTACCCCAATCTGCAGTCTCCCTCTTGCTCCCCGTTGATGCACAACTCAACGCCCTACCCTCCTGCTGCAGATGGACATTGACACAGATATCCAAGTGAGAGATTACTCTTTGGCGGACATGCAGACAGAGCACCAGAGTTCACTGTAGCGCACATCATCACACCACTGTGTGCATCACAGCTAAAAAAAAGCCTATTCTTGCGTCGAACCCACATTACAAATTCCGTGGTCTTGCTTTGCATTAACATAAGATAATCTCGATAGTCATTGCTAGGTCCGATCTTGGCGCTGAAAGCTCTCTCAACAGCTGCAGCAAGATGAAGAGTACTAAAGCGGGGGTGTCTCGGTACGAAAGGAAGCTCACCGCAATCAGGTAGGCTACAGCGATGACAAGGCATAGCTGGAATGTGATGTAGCGGAGAAGAAGCTGTAGTGCCGCATGGGCAAGAGACGTATAATGCAGCGGGCTTAAGACCTGCAGTCATGTATCAGCTACTGATTCAGCTACACAACACACGCCTCTCGCTCTTTCTTCTGTCATCTTCCAGAATCTATCTCCCCTCTATCATCTTATAACCCATCCTTCAATTGGGATTCTGAACCTTCGATATCGACCTTGATTTCAGACCATATTGGCTATCATAGGCGAGGCCCGGGATCAACTACTGAGAGGTCGGGGGGCAATAATGAAGAGGGCCAGTGTCAAAAGAGAGATGGAGCCTCTCTCATTCCGCAATCACAGCACAATTCTATGCATGTAGATCCAGCATCTCATGCGAAAATGTCTTCTGTTCACCGATCTGTTCACGCTGCGATCTCGATTCCGTCGTGGGTGGGCCCCAAATGTGTATGAGCTGCGTTCAAGGACGACGTAAAGCAGCGACGATTTCTAATTTTCGTGACAATCATTCAGCTGTTGGCGCCACAATTCATTGCTCGCTTTTTGGTTTTGGTTTCATTTTGTTAATTTCTCCTTTTTCCCTTGGCTCATTTGTTAGATCCAGACCCTAGAAATATACGCCCAACGAACACTTGGCTTGTCGCTCGTGTCGCTCAATCATAGACTGCCCGTGTCGATCTTTGGGTCGTCAATTCACTCTACTGATCAGTCATCGCTTTTGGTTAGAGAGAGAGGGGGGGAACTTTCGAGGTGGGTCCGCATTCCTCCGAGCAGCGCCTGATAGCCTTAGGGCAATCTTTGGAGTGCATAACCCTGTACGAATAAAGCCGGTGGGAAGTGGTGACCCAGAGGAATGTAGGAGAATAGTTTTGACGTCCAGAATTTGTATAGATAGATTAGGATCAATTTAGGGTTTTTGCAGATGGATGCTTACTCAAAGTATTGGGGTTGGGAAGGAGACAGTAGTAGTGGGGAGGATCTCTATAACAGAAGTCTCCCTTGGATATTTGGAACAACAAGCATTCAACAAAACTTTAGTGAAGAACAACTCATAAAATAGGTTTTAGGATCATTTGGACAAGTTAGGTATTGGTATGCAACAAAATATGTTCTTGATAAGTAACTATTTTTTGGATTTCCTTATGTTTATGTAGAATTCTTGACAAGAATAGATTCTCACATGATTGAAGTTGACATGTAATTGAAGGAAAAACATAAAATTTAAAAAAAGAAGTTGTAATACCATGTTTTTATTAAAAGACTTCTTTTTTTGTAAACTAATTAATTTATTTGACTAAACCAACTATAAAAGGATAAAAGTACTGATCACAATTCACAATATTATTAGAAAGGGGACTTTATTTTTGTTTTTTTTATTTTTATTTTTTTTATTTTTAAAAATAAAACTATAAGATTTAATATAAAAATAATAACTTAGTTCTATATGTAATGTAAATAAGAGTATCTATATATATTGGCCTTTAGATCTAATTTTTAATGTCAAAGTATTTCTCTTTTCTATGTTAGTTTTAATTATAAGTATTGCTACTAGTTTTTCATATATATATATATATATATAAATTTTTCTCTCTTAGAATTTTACCTACCTATTTTACGAATATGGAAGTACATTAAGTTATGGACAATGTATCTTTACTAATAGAAAAAAATAGTAGCAATTCTTATAAACCTTTGAGTTCTTATAGATAGTTTAAAAGATTAGATTGCATTCCTTCATAATCCAAGAAAAGAATCTCAAATTAATTTCATGTTTGAAAAAAATAGATGAAATATTAATAATCTATAATAAGACATCATTTGATTGAAAGAGGCAAATATTAGACATGTGCTATATATGACGTTTATAAATATTTTAAAGATTATTATAAAAGAAATAAAGGCTAGCATTAAAAGCAATTTTGATAGAAAAAGATCCACATTTGGTAGCTTTGTGCAATAAGTACATTTTTACTTATGCTTATATCTTTTTTGTTATGCAAATGAATTTATTGAAGTTACTTTCATAGGTATTCTTTCATTGAGAAGTTCTTATTCATATTTTCTAGTATTAAGAAATAATTCTATAATATTATATGATCTAAAGGCTTTTATGGAGAAAATTATTGCTTCATTTGGAGATGGTAATTAAGAAAAGGTTTAAAAAATGAAGATACTAAACTTCTAGCAATGAAAATATTCAATTATAATTATATTGTAAAATTTCAATAGTTTACTCATGACCTTGCTTGGAAGAATAAAACATTTATTACTTGATTTTGATGTTGTTTAAGAGATGATGAGATTTGTTTATTGATTAAAATACTTTAAGTTGACAATTTAGAATAACTTATATCTAAAGATATTACTTGAAATATTCACCTATTTAAATTGTGATAAGAAAGATATTAAGTTTTTGATAATAATCATAAGAATGCAATTGCTATTTCTTCAAGAAGATGAAAGAAGCATCCAAAGGGCTCTAAACCATTTTAAATTGATGGAACTCAATTTAAGCTATTAAGTCAAACAAAAAAAAGATAGATATTGAAAAGAAAATTTGTAATTCTATTATAAAATTCATAATTATAAAGCATCAAATTACATAAAGAAGTTTAAGAGATTCAAAGCACAAAGTTTAATATCAATTATAAAATTAATAAAATTAAAAAATGATGAAATATAGTCACAATAGGAACTATGTAGCAATATACCACCAAATTCCAACTACTAAAAAATATCATGCTTTACTTCTAAATCTTATATCTTTTTTTTATACTTCTTATATATGTAAAAATTCTAAATTTTGAGATTTGTATTGAAGCTCGTCTAGATACTAAAGTCCTAGTATATTTTAGTATCTATTTATAGATAAAGATTTTAGAACTTAACATGACTTAAAATTTGTGAAGAAGATTCATCTTACACTCGCTAAAATCATTGATAGACAATACTTACATTAGAAGATATTATCAATGAATCATAACTATTGGAAGTGGTTGTAACAAGGTATAGATAAGATAATTATATAGATAATTAGAACCATGGAAGTTTTTAGAATTAGAATTAGGTTAGTGAATCAAATAGGATCCCTCATAGAATATTCTAAAAAGAATTTAAGACAGTTATTTAAGTAGGACCCATTATAGATCTTTTTAGAAAAGAAATTTAAGGTAGTTATCTAAGTGGAGTCCACTACCTAAGAACATTCTAAAAAGTCTAAAGTAGTAGGACATGATATAAATAAGAGTGGCCAAGGCTTTTGGAGCATCTGATTAAGTATGGCTTTGGACCCTTTCTTTTAGTAAAGTTTGGTTCTGCATCTTTCTGTTCAAATCTATTCTATTCTGTTTCTGTTTGCTAAGTTTCGTCTTTCATGTCAAATTCTATTTAGTTTTATTTAATTTTTTTCTGGTATGTTTTGTCTTATTTTGTGAAAAGGCCTTATATTATTCTGTAATAGAAGGATCTTGGATTTTTGAGTTAGTCTATTTGTGTTTCATTGATATTAGAGCAAATATTAGACTATTTACTTTTGGTAGCATGCTAATAGTCATCATTTAGTCCAAGGTTAGTTGTTGTGGTCATATTAGATACTGTATTGAGGCTATCACAAGCTAATCTTAAAAAATCAATGAAGAGGTGAGAAGGTACTACAATAGTAGAGTCCAGTGGAGAAATTACAACATGAGAGATATGGTAGAACAATCCTAGACGGAAGCTCAAATGCAATACCTCTTAAGCCAGATAGCTACTTTGCAAAGGTAAATAGAAGCCTCGAGCACAAGAAAGTGGACATTTGCTAGGTTGAAATTGAGTAAGCCTAATACATACTCTAGAACTTCAAGATAAGAAGATTTATGTCAATAGCTCTTCAATTTGCAACAATACCTTCAACTATCTAAGGCAAATACTACTAAAGGAATTATATGTGTAATGAGTTATTTGAGAGATGCGACAGGCATTTGGAAGTGACATTGAGTTCAAATATATGGAGCTCAAGGTGGATTTTGTGAATAGAAAGAATTTGAGACCGAGTTTAGGAATCAATTTTGGCCTATCAATATAAAAAAGATAATATGCCATCACTTGATAATTCTTATACAAGCTTGGTCAATACAAGATTATGTCTCCCGATTCAAGTCTTTATGACTCCAAATTAGTAATATTTTAGAGGTAGAGATGATGGATCAATTCCTACGAGGGTTGAAACCTGGAATACAGTTAGAAGTAGATCTAAGAGATCCACAAATATTTGAAGAAGCAATTTGGTTTGTAGAGAGGGTCGATGCTATAGATTTCAAAAATTGTGGAGTACGATCTATAGCATGAAGTTCTATGCCACTATTTAATATTACAGCACAACAACCAATGCCAATGGACATTGATGCCTTATAAAGATCATTAACACTACAAAGACAACAAATATTGGTATAAAAAATATTATGTTTTTATTGTCGAGAGCCATGCCATCAGATTAAAGGTTGTCCAAAACATCAAAGTACAAGTACCAGTAAGATAAGACAAGTTTACACTCTTAAAATCCATGAAGTTGATAATGAGTCAGAGCAAAGAAATGTGACTCCTTAGTAAAGGCACGAAGGGCCAGTATTAGGCATAGTAATTGTTTCTCAGAGACAAATGGCCAAGCCTCAGATAACTATAAAAAGAATTAATTGGTGCCTCTAACGACACTACTAAGAGAACAACTATGTCAAGTGCTTGTAGATTGTGGCTCTACAAAAAATAATATCTCAATTGAAATGTCCAATTGACTTAAAATTAAAACCAAGGAAATCAAAAGAAGAAGTAAATACCTCACAGATGATTGAGAGAATATATTGAGTGAAACGTGTGAAGAAGAAAACTTAAGATTGATGGACATCTATATCTTAATAAAGAGATTCAAGGTAACAAAGCTAAGATATGATGTTATCTTTGGTATATTATGGTTGGAGATGAAAAATAAGTAAGTTGATTGGGTAGCAAAGACAATCTCTTTTAAAGTTAGAAGATGCAAGGTAATTCTTTGCACATCCATATCAAGTGAAGAGGAAAGATAATCTATAATCAAAGATTTACTTGTAAGAACAATCTTTATAAAGAAGCAACTACAACATGAGCAACTAATATATATGATGGTTCTAAATCTTGTATCAGTGGTAGAAAAGACAACCAATGGGATAGAATGGGCAGAGCAACTCATACAAGCATATCAAGATGTCTTTCCAACTGACCTACCTAGTGGCATATCTTGTGATCGAGGTGCCTCTTTTCAAATAGAACTATTGTTTAGAGCCAAATTAATAAGTCAATCAATTTATCGCCTAGCACCAAAAGAACTTAAAGAGCTTTGAAAGAAATTGGACAAACTATTAGAGAAAGGCATCATTTAAGACTGTACATCATTATGGGGAGCACTTAT